TCACTCTTAAAAGCATCTTGCTTTGGTCAATAAAGCGTGTGGTTGTCCTGGCTATAGTCACCTTAAAAAAGAAAAAGAGAACTGGTGATGAGGTTTGATGAGAGATTAAGGCCTGGGGCGACTGGCTGATGCACGGTACCCCCCGGGCTGGTTCGCTGGGCTTTCTTCTGACTTGGTCTCAGATACTCCACCACTTCGGCTTCCTCCTCGAGTACCCCTTATTCATTTCCTACTTGCCCACATCCCTTTGGCTACTGCTCCCCTTCCCACCTTCCCTTTCCCAAAACATACTTACCCCTCTGTGAGGTGCATCCTTACCTCCTGATTGGACTGGTTCTGTCCATCCCAAGCCTGCTGAGTTTCTGGAATGGACCAGCCAATACCCAGGCCTCCCAGGGTGGCCCAGGTAAGTGTGGGAGATTGGAGCCCCTGGGACTTACTTCTTTTGGGGCAGATGGCCTGGCAGACAGCTTGAGACTGGAAGTTGTTACTGTTCCCCTGGCAACCACCATAGATGAATTGGGAGCAGACTTTATTTTGCGCATCATACCACCAGCGCGGAAGGTAGGCCAAGCAGCGGCCAGGCTCTTTTGGCAAAACGCATACGTCTGCAGGGAGATTGAGAAGCAGAGCTGTTTGGATGCCTGGCTCCCTAAAGAACACCCCAGGCATGTGCCAAGGCATGGAGAAGTGTGTAAGGCATGGTATTTTTAGAGAGTGTTGCAGAATTTATCCTAGCAGGTAAGTTGGCACTGAGTGGAAGCTTTACTAATGTTTATAGTAAAAAAAAAAATCAAACATATCCTGAACTTAAAGAAGCATTTATTGAGCAACTGTTTTGTGCATAATAGTACGAGGTGCCAACAGAGCTCTTTAGAACTTCATGGTCCGAAGCGTAACAACCATAGTGCTTATTAAAGTGTCAGGCACTGTTCTTAGCACTTGACATATAGTAACACATAATCTTATAAGGTAGGTCCTCTTATTGTCCTCATTTTGCAGCTGAGTAAACTGAGGCTCAGAGAGGCTAAGTAACTTCCCTAAGGTCACATGGATGGTAAGGGATTTGAATGTAGTCTGTTGTTTTTAAGATCGAGATCAGACCCACTACTCCAGCTGGCAAGGTCCTGCCTTGCCAGAACCTTCTCTACCTACTCCGGCTTCATCTTCCTCATCTCTTACCATGCTCATGCTCATGCTCCTCTCTGTTCTCTGGCCTTTCTAGCCTGAGCATGGTGTCTTCTCACACAGGGCATTTGCACATGAGCCAGTAGAGCCCATCATGGGCATCAGGGCTACCAGTAAATGTTGAATGAATGAACAAATGAACAAATGAATCAATGAATAGTCCTTGATGATCTTCTTTAGAGCTCAATGATATGGGCAGAGAGGAAAGAGTGTAGGAGACCAAGGGTGGCTAGGGAAGATACCTGAGATTGATACAGACGAGAGGCCTGGAAAAAAAGCCAGGAAAGACAAATCATGTACCTGTCTTTTACAGCTGTTGCATCACTGCCACCATGCTGGCATTTGACGAGACCTCAGTGGCTACTTGGCACCTCAGCGGATCACAGAAGAGTAGCCAAGAGACTATATGGCCTGCTAACCACATCTTTCTTACACTTGGGGAAACTGAGGCCCTTAAAGGAAAACCTATGTCACTCATGTCACATACATAAATAGAGGCAGAAAGGAAGTAAAACCTGTGTCTTTCAACACCCTCCCCAGCCCAGCACTGAGAGGGTTTGTGTCAAGTAGAAGATGCACCCAGACTCCTGGTCAGAGACCAGTCATCAGTGAACCCGGCGAGGGGTCCAGCAACGCCGGTGCAGGTGGCCAGAAAATGAGGGCATCGGCTAGTTCAGGGGATCTGAGAGTTACCTTGTTTGGGATTTAAACATTGCCTTGCACAGCCAAACCTGCAACACTTCATCTTCTCTGGGCACTCTCTGTTCTTCACACATTGGTTTCTTTCTTCAACTGCACATTTTACTCTGTTTTTGGGACACGCGCCTGAGGGAGGGAAAGATAAACTCTTCTGGGGCCTTGGAGGGGCTAAAGCCCTCCTTCCCCAGACCCAGGGCACCGCTGCAGAGGTGAAGAAGCTTGCTTTCACTTCACTGTCCCCAGATGCTTAGTGGCCTTTGGCAGGGGCTCAGGATTTACACAGTGGTCCCCCATCCCTAACCCCCTAACAACTCACCGTCTGATCCCTAAACCCACCACCCATAATGAGGTTCCAGGGAGAGAGATGCTTTCCTCCAGAATGATTCTGATCACTCGGTTTTCCTGTATTTGGTGGTTCCCTGGGTGGGGGCAGGGGGCTGTCACTCTCAATGATTGAGATCTCCATTTCTGGAGTCAGATGGCTGGGCTTTTGAATTCTGTGCGTCCCGTGGGGTGGCAGGCACCGTCTCTGAACTTTGATTCCCTCCTTTGCCTATAGGGTTGTTTTGAGGATTCGCGTGACAAGTTAGTAAAGCCAACGTCAAGCTGCCTGGGACACAACAAGCATAATAACTAATCTTGACGCAGTGTTTAGGGGCACTTGTCCTTTTCTTCTTAATCCTCATTGCAACTCTAGGGGTAAGTCCTATCAACACTCATATTTTATAAACGGAGGAATCTGAAGGTTTATAAATGGAGGTTATGGGAACTGGCCAGGCTCACACAGCTACTGGGGAGCAGAGCCGGATTTCGACCTGCAGCGTGTGGCTCCCCTGCTTTCTGAGCACTCAGTTGATCTCAGCTGCTAATTATGGGGCGGGGGGGTCTTCACAGGCCAGCGTTCCAGGAGACCTTCAAAGACCATTCTTTACCCTCTAGGCAAGGATCCCCTGTGGGTGCAGGTGTAGATGTGGGTGTGGGGAGTCCATGGGGAGCTGCAGTGGGAAGATTCGAAAGCTGATGCAGTGGTGCTAGGGCAAGTAGCCTTTCTTATGGGAAAAGCCCTTAAGTTGCCCAGTTCCCTTAATCTGTTTCATGAGCTCCAGGTCCAAGCCCTTCCAGGAAGAATTCCTCTCATAATGATGGCGGGGAGTCAGTTTCTTGCATTCACCAAGGGCATCTAACCAGGATGAAAGGGGCTGAAAGAATGGCTCTAAAGAGCTCCCCTCTCTCCCACCCAAGATCTCAGGCTGAGGTGGGAAAAAGCATTCCTTATCTGTAAAACTCTGTTTCTTCCTCCCAGACAAGCTCTGTTTCTCCACTGGGAGGACCATGTCCCCAGTACTTACTGTGAAACGCCTCAACCAGCCCAGGTTCCTGGACACCCTCCAGGAGGATGAATGGTACCAGGATTGGTAAAAGTCCTGAGAACCCCATTTTAGGAGCGACTGGTCCGACTGGTGGCACCAAAACCAAGAACTCCTGCTTGCTCAGCAGCTCCTGCTTCTGAACTGTCTGCCCTGGCACAGCCTGACACTCCAGGAGCCACACATCACTGTGGACACTCCCTCTGCTGGGGAACGCCAAGTCCCCAAGGCCATCAGTGAGACTAGCTGAAACCTGCAGCACCACCCGTTGCGGGGAAGGGGCTTGAGCGGCAGCTCCTCATCCTCAGCTCACTGAGGCTCTCTGGCTTTCTGGTCAACCAGGGAGAAAGGCAAAGCTTATCTGGGGCTTCTAGAGCCCCTTAGCAGAAGGGCACCCGCAATTCCAGGGTCTTCCGTTTTCCAGGGGGAGTTTGGAGGCCAAGAGAATCCTAGCTCTCTTCTCTTTCCAGTTTTAACCTTCTCCTGACATATCTATTTTTCTGTCTGCTTATTTTTCTCACTCTTTTTCCCCCCTACTCTCTGCACCTTTCTTTTACTCTCCCTGACTTTTCGGCGGGTCTCCCTCTGTCAGGGTCTCTTTCTCCTTGCCCATCACCTTTCCTCCGTCCTTCTCTTCTTTCTCTTTGGGCCACCCCCTTTCTTTAACAATTGTCAAAGAGTAAAGGCATTGCCATCAGTAGCATATGGAGGAAGAGACAGGTTTATTTGAGGTTGAACCAAATCTTCAGAGAGCGCCTGTCAAGATCACAGTGGTTTGAAAGCAGGAGAGAATGTTACAGCCTACTCCAGCCCCTGGCAACCACTATTTCACTTTTTAAAAAATAAATTTCATTTTATTTATTTTAATTTTTTAATGGAGGTTCTGGGGATAGAACCCAGGACCTCATGCCTGCTAAGCATGCACTCTACCACTGAGCTATACCTCTGCTCCCCCCACTATTCCACTTTTTATCTCTATGGATTTACCTATTCTAGATATTTCATAAAAAGGGAAATACACAGTTTATGACCCCTTGGGTGTGGCTACTTTCACTTAGCGTAATGTTTTTGAGGTTCATCCACAGGGTAGCAGGCATTCGTGCGTCATTCCTTTTTATGGCTGAATATACCCAGTGCACACTGATGGCTTCCTACTCCGAGTGTTGGAGTCTCTACTTCCCTGCTCGGAGTTTTCTCTGGCTCCATGGGAGCTTCCTCCACTGGCATACAGAACAGTCTGGAAGAGCAAGGTATTTAACAACCCAGGCATCCAGTAGGGGGATGCGAGTCAATGGATAAATACCTCAGCTTCCCATCCGTGGAGATGGATGAAGAAAAGCTGGAGGCCTGTTTTACGTGGTTCTTTAGAAGGTCCCCAGTGGGATTAGGCTGCAGTTTCCTACAGTGGAAAGCAGCTCATAATCAACTCCTCTTTTGCCTGTACCACTCCCAACTTGTGTTTCCTGAGAAATCTCCCAGAGAAACTACTATCATGCATGCTCTTGTCCCAGGACTGGTTTCTAGGGGATCCAAACTCAAGCAGCGCCCATAGGCCCTGGTCTTAAAAGGGTCTTATGATGTTTTGAAGAAACAGAGGAGGGTGACGACATCCCTGGAGCTCTCCACTCTCACGGTTCTGATTGTCTTCACTCTTTACTGGTGTCACCAGGCGCTCCAATGACTCTCTACTCTCTGAAAAGTGTAAGCCGCCAACAGATGTGAATCATTCAGCCTCAGAGGCACAGGACTAAACAAAGTGCTTTATTAGGGGGCAAAAGGGGGAGCTTCACCTAGGTATAAGCAAGGGGTTCTAGAATTTGGACAGAAAGGAAAGAAGCATAGAGATGGGATCAAAACAGAGGGATGTTATGTCAAAAAAGAGGCTGAGATGGAGGAAGTGGAGACAGATCCTGGGGTTCAGTTTTGTGAGGAGCTGAGGCCTTGGAACGCTGGGAGTGGATGAGTGGAAGCCAGCCTGGAGCATCTGTCAGGAACATGGACAGAGCCTTGAATCACGAGCCAAATCCTGGTGGTTGTTTCGGTATGTCCTCATAATTGAGGAATTAGAGCCTGTTGAGAACGAAGGACAGGACCAGCTGTGCGTCTCAGGCTCAGCTTATCTCCGGAACTAGCCTTGAAGTTATGTTTGTACATCTTTTCATAGGAGATTAAAAGGAAGTGAGTTTGCTCCGGGGAGTGCTAAATCTCCTTTAAGGAAAAAAATAGGAGATGGATGGGAGTGGATTGCTGGCAAAGAGCTGTAAGAGGAAATTAATGGCCTAGAAGGAGTGATGGGTTGACATGTCCAGCACTAGGCTGGATGCCCTGGGACATCTCTGAAGTTGGTCTCTGAGATTTCGCCATGTTTGCATCCTCCCTCTGCCCCTTATACTTGCCAGGTTTGATTCATGACCATGTCCCTGCTCAACCTCAGTTCCCAGAAAGCCACCATCCGACCCTCTACAAGGTGAATTCTTACCTCCTGGTCAGAGTTGGTTCTGTCTGCACCTGGTCTGTCAAGGATGTAACCATCCTGGAATGGACCAACCAACACCCAGAACTCTCAGCATGGGTCCAGCGAAGATGGGATACTGGGCCCCCTGAGACTCACTTTTTTGGGGGACAGAAGTTCTCGCATATGGCTTGGGATTGGAAGTTGTTATTGTTTCCTTTGCAGCCACCGTAGATGAAGATGGAGCACGAATTACTGGTCTTGTTATACCACCAACGACGGAGAAAAGCCATGCAGGGACCAGGTTCTGTGGGCATGCTGCATATGTCTGCAGGGAGACCCCAGAGTTAAGAACTTGGAGAGCCCACACCAAAAAGAAAGAAAGAAAAAAAAGCAGCCATTACTGTCCCCCTGGCAACTACCATAGATGAACTGAGCAGGCTTCTTTCACCTTTTCACACCTGGGGACCCCAGTTCCGCTGATGTATTTGCAGATTTGCAAGGAGACCCCAGAGTGGAACTCTTTGGGTGTCTTCATCCATAAAGAATGTGTCCTCCTTCCCTCTGGTCCCTGGACTCACTGTCTCCGCCACTTACTCTGCCCTCCAAAACCATGCCAAAAAAGTTGAATATGGGATCACAGTAAAGGGCAAGTCCATGCAGGGAAGTCAGGGGGCAGTTTTTCAGATCAAGCCCCTTTTTACCACCTACAGTTAGCTTCCATTCTGTGATGAGTTGAATTGGGTCTCCTCCAACCGCAATTCATATGTTGAAGTCCTAACCCTCAGGGCCTCAGAACATGATCGTATTTGGAAACAGAACTGTGGCAGATATAACTAGTTGAGGCCACTCTGGAGTAGGGTGAGACGCTAATCCAGTAGGACTGGTGTCCTTTACTAAAAGGGGGAAATATGGAAACAGATACATGTGCACACACATAGGGAGAACACCACGTGAAGATGAAGAGAAGAGATTTGCAAGGCAAGGAATCCCAAAGATGGCCAGCAAACCACCAGAAGTTGGGGGAGAGGCATGGAAGAGATGCTCCCTCACCACCTCAGACAGATGCAACCTTGCCAACACTTGATCTTGGACTTCCAGCCTGCGGAACTATAAGACAATACATCTCGGTTGCTTAAGCCACCCAGTTCGTGGTACTTTATCACAGCAGGCCTAGCAAACCAAAACAGGTCTGACCTAAACTATGAGTTCCATGAGGGTAAATCCCTGCAGCTGAACAGCTACGTCCTGTTGATGTTTTAGCTTCTCAGACCTCACCTATTTGCCACTTTCTTTCATTTAATTCTCAGTGTCTCATGCCTGGGCTGTTGAGAGAGCCTCAAATTACTCTTCCCGCCTCCATCCTTGGCCCTTCCAATCAATCCTTCATGCCACCCACCAGAGAGAAAGATCTTGTGGATCTGAAACAAAGCTGATCATGGCATTTCTTGACTTTGTGACCAAGTCTTCCACGATCCATTATCTGGCTCCTGTTCAGGCCTCTGGTCTCCTCTCTTACCACAGTACCCTCTTGAGCTCCATTCTCCCACAACCTTCAATACTCCACGCCATCCCACACTTCCACACCTTTCCTGCCATGTTCCCTCTGCCACCCTTCCATTGTTCATCAGTCAAACTCCTATCTTCCTTTCTAAACCTTTCTCAGACATCAACTCCTCTGTGGTGTCTCAGGCTCCATTCTATATACCACATCCTCATGGGTGCCTAAATTGATCCTGCATTTTTCTACCATGCTTCTGAATCTTGTGTGCATGTTTGTCATTTGTTCACATCTGTGGTCTCATCTGTGAGGTTGTGAGCTTCTAGTGAGCAGGGATCATGACTGATTTCATCTTGGAACCCCCTTCCTAGAAAGCAGTCTGGCACAGTATATGATTTAACAAATGTGGAGGGTAAAACAAAATGCCATCTTGCCCTGAGCTGAATAAGTCATTCACTGAGCACCTAAAATGGGCTCTATGCTTAAAGAGACAAAGGAAAAGCATGGCCCCTGCTATGTAGCAGCTCCCAGTCACGAACGACGAATAATATAAGCTCATATGTACCATGCGGCTATTACGCGCCAGGCATTGCTCTAAGCACTTCATGTACATCAACGTATTTGACCTTTCAAATAACCTTTACCATTGGTCCTTTGGTTATCTGGGGAAACTGGGGCACAGAAAGGGAAAGTTGTTAATTTGCTCAAGATAAACAGGCTGGGAAAATCTGGAGCTAAGATTTGAACTCAGGAAGTCTGGATTCAGAATTCTTCAACTGCAGGCAAATGAACAACTTACTATCCTCCTGCTGGTCCGCTCTGCTCTATTATCAAGTCTTTTTTACCTCACCTCCTAAATACCTTTCAAACGTACTCTACTCTGGTCCATCCCCTCAGCTACCTATCTAGTCCAAGCTACCATTTTCTTACATCGTGAAGTCCTTTAAGCCACTCCATTCCTACTCTGTAAGCATAGTAAAAGCCAGATCATGTCACCACCCACTTTAATAGATTTCCATTGACCTTAAGATCAAAGTGAGACCCTAGCCCATCACATCCTACCAACCAAGGGTCTTTTTCCCTTGCACCTTGCTCTTTGTTGTCCCTGCACCCCATCATTTAGACTTTGGACATGCTATTCCCTGAACCTTGAAAGCCCTTCCACCCACTTTTCCCCTAAATTGGCTACCCATCCTTCTGAACTCAACTCCAGGTTTTCTTTCGTAAGGAAGTCTTCCTCAGTCTCCCTGACCACACTGGCCAAATCCTATGATAAGTCTCAGAGACACTCAACAGACACTCGTTAAATGAATGAATAAAGAATTTTTGATAGTGTTTTTGGAGCCCAGGGAGATGGGCAAGGAGTTAAGATTGCAGCAGCAAAAGATAAACCCTCTGGTCTGGATTGGTCAGGGGAGCTTTCCAGGTGCTCATTTGGGTTTGCTATAGGCACAGAGGCAGTCACTCTGGAGCAAAAAGATGGGAAATACAAACCTCGTATCACAGGCAGCAACACTGTTGGTATATGGTACGCCAAAAATGGCCATCTGGGGACTCAGAAAATCATTACAAGAAAAGAGAGAAAGAAAAGAAAGGAAGGAAGGAAGGAAGGAAGGAAGGAAGGAAGGAAGGAAGGAAGGAAGGAAGGAAGGAAGGAAGGAAAATCATAAAAGTGAAAAGAAGCTGTGAGGCTCACTGGTTCAGTCCCACCCCCACATTTATCTTTCCACTGAGGAAACCAAGGCCCAAAAGGATGGAGATAGTACCTAATGCCATTCATCATATTAGGAGCAGTGATGAATTTAAATTTCAGGTCTCCCAAGTCCAGCAATCTTGCTCAGAGACCAGCCCTTAGTGAACCAGGGACCACACCAGCACCCCCGCGGCCCCACACCACCCCCAGTGGGCGGAAGGTGAGGGCAGAGGTAGAGGGACTGGTTAATCTGAGGCTCTGAATATTACCTTTCTGGAGGTTTACACATTTTTTCCCACAGCTGAAGACGCAACACTTCTGGTGGTTCGGGCACTGTCTGTCCCTCGTACATTCATCCCTTTCTCTGAATGCACAGTTCTCTTGGACTCTGGGGCATCTCCCTAAGGAAAGGACTTAGAACCGTGAGTCTTGGAGGTCACAGTGCCCACTCTTCACCAGACCCAACACAATCCTAGGGAGTCAGGGAAGTTGGCTCACCCCCAGGTGTCCTTTTCCTCAGGGACTTTCATGGATTTCCCAGCACTGCCGACACTACCCTCCCTCCCGATCACCCCTCACCCACTACCTCCTTACCCCATTCTTAGTTCCATCCCCCAGCCCCATACCCCCAAGGCAGGCTTTCTCAACCTTGGCATTAATGGCGTTTGGACCAGTAGTTATTTGATGGGGGGAGGGCTGTCCTGTGCACTGTAGGATGCTCAGCAGCATCCCTGGCCTCTACCCACTAGATGCCAGTAGCATCCCTCCCCAGTTGTAACAACCAAAAAGGTCTCCAGACATTGTAAACGTCCCCTGGAAGGCAAAACCGCCAGTTAAAAGCCACTGGTCTAAACTGATCTGGTCCTTTTAGACTAGATGAGGAGTCAGCCTTTGGGGATTCCTCTGGGGGCACTGTTGTACAGCGATTAATATTACTCACACTGGTGTCAGACAGTTGAGTTTTAAAATTCTAACTAACTCTTCATTTACCACTTACCTTCTCTGAATGTTGATTTCCATCATTTGTGATATCGTTTTAGCCTTACAGAGTGGTGAGGAAGAAATAAGACAAACGTGTAAAGCTATAATCATAGTCACTGATGCACGGTAATCTTAAATGACATTTGTTAGGTGTTGGCCATAAACCAAGCACTCTTCTAAGCAGTTTACATGGGTTATCTCATTTAACCCCCATACCAGCTCAATGAGGAAAGCTCTATTAATATCCTTGTTTTGAAGATGAGGAAAGCACATGGAATTTTTTTCTAATGGGGGTCCTGGGGATTGAACCCAGGACCTCCTGCATGCTTGCACTCTACCACTGAGCTATACCCACCACCCTGAAGCACATGAAATTTAAGAAACTTGCCTAAGTGGTGGAACCGGAATTTGGACCCACCAAGTCTGACTCCAGGTCCGTCTCTTAAATCCTATTTTCTGAATGTTCAGTAAAAGGTAGCAATTACCATTATTCTACTAGTGATGCAGTATCACTGTCTTAGGTTCAAAGGATCTTCTGGATACTATCCTTTAGCTCAGAGTCAAGGAACCCCTGAGGAGGCAGGGATCTTTTCTAGGACAATATTTGAAAGAATCAGGGGTTGATAGAAATGATGTCCCAAGAAAGGGGGCTATTTTTGTTGCAGGATGAGGGGAAGGTCCCTTATAATTCCCAGATTCCTATAGCCTCTCCCATAAATGCTAAATCCTGTGGCTCTCCCTGCCTCCACCAAGAAAGACCCTCCATTTCAAAGGAGCTGAAAGTAGGAATGCCCCAGGATCAGATTCTTGCATTCACAGAAGGAAGTTTCCACAGAGAGAGAAAAGGAAGAAATATCCCAAATATCTCCCTCCTCTCCCAACCTGGGGCTGGGGCTAAGGTGGTGAAAAGCAACTCGAGTCAGGTGCTTGTTTCTTCCTCCCAGCAATATTCCTTCTCTCCAGGGTAAGGGCTGAAGCCCCAATACTTACTGGGAAAGAGCCAGTCAGTGAGACCATATCCCTGGACATTCACTAGAAGGATGGATAGCACCAGGATGCTCAAAAGTCCAGAAGACTCCATTCTGAAGGAAATCTGACCTCTCCAGTGGTTCCAGAGCATGAAAATGTCTGGCTGTCTTTGTCCACCCTAGTCCTTCAGTAGTCAGTATCTCGGATACAAGAGCTGGAGTCAAGCCAGCCACCCCCTCTCCTCATGGGAACGCCAAGTTCCTGAGATTATCAATGTGACTAGCTGGCATCTACAGCCCACACTCCTAGGCAAGGGTCTCTTATTGAATGACTCTTGATCCATAGCCCCCTCGACTGGGGTAGGCCTTCTGGTCAACCAGGGGAAGCAGGCAAATCTTATTTCACTTTCCAGGCTACCTTAGGAATGAATGCCACCATCAGGAGTCTCCATCTTGATAACTTTGAGAATTGTAGAATGTCCTCATTCTCCATTCACTTTCCTTTTCACCTGCACACTAAGTGGCACACCAGTTTTTGTTTATTTGTTTGTTTGTTTTTGTCTCTGATCAATGTGTGTCTGTTGTTCTCTTGGTATCTCTTTGCTTCTGTGAGTCTCCTATGGTCTCTATGTCTCTCTCTCTCTCACTTTCTCTCACACTTTCCTCCCATCCTCTCTTCTCTTTTTAGGTCACTCATATCCCTTGACTAAGACCAAAGGGTAAAGATGTTGCCACAGAGTGGGGCAGGGAGGAGGAAGCAGGCTGATAGCAGAGTTTGCAGATAGTGTTTGTGAAGGTTGTGTTGTTCTGAGAGCTGGAGAGGATATCAGAGCTTACAGGGAGCATTCAACATCGAGAGCAAACTCCCTGTTGTCTGAGGAGAAACTGTGAAGTGAGGAGACCTGCCTGAGAGACTACAACTCAATAAAGGTCAATAACACAGCAGAATTGCTATTTCTAACCGGGCTAGTGGAAGAGCTACGGAAGAGAGACAGAGAGGGTGCTGGAGGACTTGGCAGCTTTCCTCCGGCCACAGAATCCACAATACCAGCCAGTCAATCAATCAGTCCTGGTCTGTTGAAGAGAGATTCTTCAAAGAGTAAATGTCATCTGTAGAGTCCCCATTCCCTTCCCTAGCTAGATGTTGCACTTTTAGGCCAAGCTTTGTTCTCCAATTTCTCCTACCTGATGGAGAAGCCAGACAAAAACCAACCCTATCATCAATGACTGACTCTATGATCCCAAAATTTAGGATCACAGACAGAGCCCCTGTGGGAATGTGTTGGGTGGGTCTCAGCCTGTTGATCATGACGTTCTTGGCTAGGAATGCCCGAGGCATTCACGTAGCTTCTATTTATGTATAGAGAGCCCCACAGACAGCCTTGCACCACCACAGGGGCCAATGTTGCGCCTGGACCAGCCCTGGGGGTTCTTATGATGACTGAAGGACTCATCTCTGCAAAACCATTAGGGGACTGTTAAAGAGAAAAACCACAGGCCCCAAATGGCATCACTTATGCTAAAGCCCATTATAACAAGCCCAGATTTAATACCTAACCTAATTGCAGTTTTGACCTACATCAGAAATGCAATATTAATCACTCAGTCTGGAATTCTCTGGTTGGCACCAATGCGGTAGCCTGTCATGTGGGCCCTCTCCATTCTCTACCCACCACCACTACCCCAAGAAGTAGTCTGCATGATAAGACCTTGGTTCTCTTCCCTTCAAAAAAAGATGCCCTGGCCTAAAAGTAATCCTTTCTTTTCTTTTGCTTATAGTTTCCTTGCCCCACTCTTCTTCCTATAAAACCTTCCATTTTGTGCAACCCCTCAGAGCACCCTTCTAGTTGTTAGATGGGATGCTGCCTGATTCATCAATTACCTAATAAAGTCAATTCAATCTTCAAATGTACTTAGTTGAATTCGTTTTTTAACAGAACTTTGAAGAACAAGATTTATTACTCACAAGTCCTGGAGGGTATATGGCAGGTCCAAGGACCACACAGTATCTCCTCCCACTGATGGTCATAGTGCTCTGCCTCTGCCTCAGCCACACTTCTGTTCTAGGACCCACCTGTGCTCAGAATCAGAGACTCCAAAAAACACCAAGGTAGATGGCCTTCCACCTGGAAGTTCCTGATTGTTCATCAGACCAAGACTTGTCACATGCTGACTTCCTGCCACTGGCTTTCTATGTTGTTCCCTGTGCCTCTAACTTAATTACTGAATTTCATGTTTGTTTCCCCAAATAAACTCTGAGCCCCATTGAACAGGTCTGTGTCTAGAACCTAGGGCTTAGAATATAAATAGGCCCAGAATAAGCACTCAGTACATTCTGTTGGATAAGAAAGGTAGGTGGAGAAGTTAGTAAATAGATATATGGATGGATAGATAGCTCATGATGAATGGGAAGATGGTTGGATGAGTAGGAAGAAGAATGGGTGAGGGTAGCATGAATCTTTGGGTGTATGAATGCATGGACTTGGATGGGTGGATGAATGGCTGGGTGAAGAAGTAAATTGGATTGGACTAAGGGTGTTTAGCAATGTGATGAATGGGTATATTGATGGAAGCTGTTTGAATGGAAAATATATGAGTGATTGGTAGGTGTATGGAGGAAAGATGGGTGTAGAAGTGAGGGAGAAGTATGTTGATGGGTGTGAGAGAAGACAGTGTGTGTGAAAGGTAAGTAGGTGGATAATGGGTAGATGGAAGAAAGGCTGGATATAAAATAGGCAGCTGGACAGGAAAAAGGAAGATGAGTGAGAAGGATAAGTGGATGGATATATGGGTGAAAGGATGGGCGCAAAGACATAAGTTGAAAGGTATGTCAATGGAGGGCAAGGTGAGTGGATGAAGAGGTGAGTAAATGGATTGAATAGTCGGTGGATAAGTGGAGGGGGTGGAAACATGAATGCATGAATGAAAACATTAGCTAAAAATATGAAAATAATTACAGAGAGAATAATTTATACTACTGTAAAGTAATACATTTATAAATAGGGAGAAAATTGACTAATTTTAGCAAAATATAAAAGATCAAAATTTACAGAAGAGGAGGTAGAGAGTCTATACAATCTATAAGATGTAGTACGAAAAAAATTAGTAAAAGCATACTATTATGATTATACGTGTATAACAGAATTACTTTGCTGTACACCTGAAACAGACACATTATAAATCAACTATATTTCAATAAAAATTCTATCTAACCATATATATTATATATATGATTAGAATTATATATATATAATTATAGAAGGAACCAAAATATGCTTTTGAAGTTGAATTTTGTCTAGCCTTCAAAGAACAGAGAATTGATATAGTATTTAAAATATTACAGATCATAGGAAAAAAAGTAGGTAGGATTCCCAAATAGTTTTCCATGCTAGTTTTTTGAGGACATATGACTCAAAAAGCAAGACAAACAAAAATCATAGACCTATTTTTCTTTTAACCATAGATGTGAAAATTCTAAATAAACTACTTGCTGAAAAGAATCAACAGCATATTAATTCAACTACACCTTCAACATGATTAAGGTCATTCCAGGAATAATGAAGATGGCTCAACATATGAAAAATTTATATGTTACTATAGCAACAAATTAGAAAAAAATCATTCCATAACTAGATACTTAAAAGATATTTGATAAAATTCAGCAGAGATTTTCAACAGCAGCTATAAATGGATAAAGAGGAAACAACCCAAGGGTGATAAAACCTACTTAAAACCCAACAACAAATGTCATTTTATACAGCAGGAAACACTGACTTTAAAATAAAGAACTGGACAGGGATACATGCCATTGCCTTTATTTTCAACATTATTTCAGAAGTACTACATAATATCAAAAAATCACCCAAAAAAAGTAAATCATGAAGCTGGAAAAGAGTCAAGTTTATCATTGTTTTCAGACGATATGATTACATATAAAATCAAAGTAGCCCCATTAAATATTGTTATACTTAATAAGACAATTTGGCAAAGTAGTTGGATGCAAGACAAAATTGATAACCTTTTATTACACTATTCATAATTAATTACTTTGATGATAACACTTTAAACTTACTATTTATTTCAGGGGTTCCAGGCACTTCATTCCACAGAGTGAACAGCACTTCATTGTCAGTGGGCAGTCATGATCCTGCAGGCACTGGGGCTTATCAATCCTGACACATATTGATGGCGTCATCGTGCAGAAACCTGCTTTGACTTGATGGGGTAAAACAAAGACACTTGACCTTGAAATACTCAACCATAGTTTGAGACAAATTTGGGGAATCTTAGGAACCTTAAGCAAGGATTTCTTCTGATGAAGCCTCTTACCCTTCCCCCTAGAGTAACAGTAGAGTAGAGCAGGCGAGTACCAACTGTCTATTTGATAACTAATTTTAATAATTATTTGAGGAGCATCAAAAAGTCTTGTTACCTCTGACTTATAAAATCTGATAGGATTTCTGACTGCCCCTACAAAATGAATAGAGTTGGGTTATCTAATCCCAGAGCACCAGAGGCAGGAGTATTAGAGAGCACCCTGAACTTCCTTGTTTTATAAACCACAGAAACTTAGGACCATAGAAGGCGAAGTGAGTGGTCTAAGGTCACACAGAAAACCAGTAGGCAAGTTGAAGTCAGTTGAAAAACCTTTAACTCCTTCCACCATACCATGCTGTTCCTCAAAACATGGACAACCCCTGGAACAAGACCAGAGTGTCTCAGCACAACATGGGGGAATGACTACCAGCCTTAGAGGCTGGGGAGGTCACTTCTACCTCATCTTGCTACCCATCTTATCCCCAGCACACCTTACACGAAGTTCTGTGCAGACGTAAGAACTTACTAGGCTTATACCTAATGGTTATGATTTTTTTTTGTATGATTAAGTGGATATTGTCGCCTCATAGACCACTGAAGAATGAGACTGGGAATAAATAAGTTTTCATTGAGAAAAATGAGGAGGATTACCATGCCTGACTGGTTTGGAAGAATAGCACAACAGTCTCCCAAGATCAGGAAGGCCACCGGAGAGCACTGGTTGGACACTAAATGGGGAAGGGTTCCCAAGAGACCTCTAAGGGGCAACCCCCACTCCGCGGACAGCATGGCATTCATTCCTGGCCTATGCCCAGTAGACTTTGGGAGGTATATCCCCAGTCCTCACCTTTCCAGGCCTTGGCGCAAACAAAGCCACACGTGGATTCACAACATTTTTCATTTTCAGGGCAATCGATGTCACTCTTACACGAAGCTGAACACTCCTTACGAGTGGTGAAAGGGAAGAGGGGGCACTGTCCCTCCTTAACTAAAACAAGAGAAGATGTGAGCTCCTTCAAATCCCAGCCCATCCCACCACCCTTCAAACAGCTTTCTCTTCTCTTCAAAACAAGCATCTCTCTCTGCGACATGGTTCATTCTACCCAGTCCACGCTCACCTCTAGTTGGCTGTGGAGCAATGAAATGCCTCCCCACATCATGAGATGCAAGAGAAAGAGGGTTCCACTGGGTGTTTGAAGCCCCAAAGGAAAGTCCCTGTCCTGCCACTTAATGAGTGACTTCAGTTTCCTTCTCTATAAGATAGGAGTAATTATGTGAAATCCATACAAATCAATGGAAGCTATTTCAGGGGATGTCCTTTACTTTGAATGAAGAGTGTCATGATCTGACTCACATTTTGAGATAACCATTGTGACTTCTGTGTTCATAACAGACAGTAAAAAGGGAAGGCTAGAAGCCAGAAGAGGCTGGGGCAGCAACCCAAGTTAGAAAGGGGCATTGCAGGTTAAGGTGGCAGCTGTAAAGATGAGAAGAAGTGGTCAGATTCTGGATCTATTTTCCAGGTAGATCTACAGAGATTTCCTAACAACAGATGTTGACTGAGGAAGAGAGGCATCAAAGGGGATTTAGAAGTTTTTTTCCAACCAAGACAGAGAGAACTACGGATAGAACAGGTCTGACATGGGAGAGCAAAGATAAGGGGTTCCATTTTAGACAAGTTAAGTTTGAGGTGTTTATGAGATCCAGATGGAGGAGGCAGTTGCAATATGGGAGTCAGATTTGGGCTGGACATACAACTTCATGGGTCACTAGGACACAGATAGTATTTATGTCAATTCTTCAGGATTCTGTGCATGTCCCCCACTGTCCTCATCTAACTGCAAATTCTATGAGGGCAGGAAGTGTTTCTTCTCTCCTCCTCCCTCCTCCTCCTCCTTCTTCTTGCCCCAAACCTAAATTTCCCACCAACCAGCCCAAGCTCATTTCCCTGGCCCCTTCTCCCTGCTGGCTCCTGAGAGAAAGCTGAGGTCTTGTCCACAGCACCAAAGGGAAGCTTGTAGTCCTCATTTCATGAGGTCAGAACACAGGGTTTCCTTGGCCATTCAGGCTCTCTGGGCCCATGGAATTAAAATTCCAGCTCTACTCCTGACCCACTATGAATCCTTGGGCAACAAACTTTACCTCTCTGACTCTGTTTCTGCATCTGTAAAAATGGCAGTGATGGTACACTTCTCAACCTGCCTCACCGAATCTGAGGTCAAAGCTCTAATGCTGCCTTATAAATCACACAGTGCTGTGTTTTAAGGTCAATGGTCACCATCCCAATTGTTATCACCTAGTAATCCCACACTACTGACCACCATATCAAATCTTTGTGTCACTGATCACAGATAATCCTACCAACAACTCAATAAGGTATTTGCTATTATTCCGGTATTACAGGGGAGGGAACTGAAACTCAAAGAGGTGAAGAAATTTGCAGTAAGTGGGAAAAGTAGAATTTTTATCCAGGTCATTTAGCTCCTAAGCTCCATAGCACACTGTCACCCAACATTACTGGTGATGACCATCTCTGCACTAAGGAATTAGTCCACCACCTTGGCCTTCACCCCACTCTACTCTTCACCTTCTCCATGCTCAAGCCCTATTCCATGGGGTTCCAGAGCTGACCTGTCTTCATTCTTGGGTGAATCCTCAGGGAACATTCAGCAGGTCGACGTGATGAGGAAATACCTGTTTCCAAAGGGTGGATCTGGCTCTCAGGTCCCACTGGCCAAAGTTTACTGACAGTTGACGTTCCCTATTTCATTTTTTAGCACAATAACTCCATCAGGTAAATACTATTATTATCCCCATTTTATAGACAAGAAAACTGAAACTCATAAAAGGCAGGCAACTGATCTAAGACTACCCAGCCAGTCAATGACAGAGCTAAGATCTGAACCAAGGCAGTTTAACCTCAAAGCCTGAGTCTACAACTGGGCTGGTATACTATTTATAATCAGACTAAGCCCTCAGATTGCCAAGGGTGTGAGCCTTACCAGTTAATGAGCAAGCCCTCTCACAGTCTTCCTTCCAGCGGAAGTTGTTGGCATTCCCCAGGCAGCCTCCATATGTAAAGGACATGCAGACTTGATGTTCAACGTCAAAATAGTAGCGCTCGGCAGAATTCTTACAGTTGCCTTGGTTTAAGGGTAGCATGCAGGGTTCTGAGGGCAAGAAGCAAAGAGGAAAGAACACAAAGGGTAGCAATAAGGGAAAGGGTCAGGCCCTCAGCTTTTGTATAGTTCACAGTGTTACCATCCACTGTGGTAACCACAGTGTTACCATCGTAGAAAGTGCCATGGTCAGTGAAAGTTCTGGTCCTAGCCTTACTCTGATTACGCTATGTTGCGTAACAACTCCAAGCATCATTTCTACCTTGCAAGGGATACAGTGAAGAGCATGTAAGAATGATTTGGAGCTGATCTTTCTTCTCCACCGCTCTGAGCTATGAGAGAGCAACACTTGTTCAGGAACGATATCCAATGTGCCTAACAAAGTGCCTGGTACATAGAAGGAGTGAGATACTGAGAAAGAAAAAAACCAGCCCTTCATGTCTGGAAATTGATCTGATGCTCATAGCTAAGGCACACTGTTCTCCTTTTGGACATAATTCCACAGGGCATCCACAGCAAACCAAGTCACTTTGAGACTGTGACATAGTAAAATCAAAAAAAGATCACTGTGAAACCCACAAAATGTCAAAAACCTATGAGTGATTTACGCTTCTCTACAAATTACAGCTTTTAAGATTCACCAGGATACTCAATCGCAGAAATTACCCCCGCTTTCTGACAGCACCCAATCGAGAGCAAACCCCTGCTTCCTTAGACCCTCTCCCAAATCACCCAATCAAAGCCTCAGTCCTAACAGCTTCTTACTGAGCTGCCTCAGACTGCGCTGTGCACAGTCTCCCTCACTGCGACAAGTACTGAACTCACCTTGTTCAACTACAAGTCTGTTCCCGGTGGTCTTTGGCCAAAGGGCATTGATAATAGTTACTTGCTGAATGAATGAATGAATGAATGAATGAACGAATGAGTGAACCTATACGAAGTGCACAGTTCCCTATTATTAGATAATTTGAGTTACCAGAAAACCTCCCTGAAGACCCAAGAATCAGAAAACAACCCCAGCCTCTGAGCTGCCTGAAGTTTATATTTGTCACAGTGCCAATAATCGTTTCTTGAGACAAAGTGAACGTGCAGCAAGTATTAGTTGTTTGTGAACAATTGAATGTCGGACCAAAGAAGACTAAGACCAATAGTATGCAGTTGATGTACACCATGCCTAGACTCCTTGTCTGTGCTTGAGGGCTGGGGGTCCATCAGAGAAGTAGAAGAGCATGTATCCTGGCCTCCTTGTCCTACCATCCAAGGGAACTGTTCAGCCACTTCCGGGCAGAGCAGGAAGTAGGGTGCCTCACAAGGCACCTCTGCCCTCAGGCTGGATGTCAGTACCTGCGTGTGGGTCCATGCACTTCTTCTCACAGGCAAAAGAGCAGCACTTCATGTATTCATTGCAGTCGAAATCTGTTTTGCATGAGTCTGGGAGTTTAGCTCTACAGGTGAGCCTTTCTTGGGGACACACTCCTGGTTTCTCTGTAAGAAAGAAATGTCCAAATTCACATCTTTTGAGGCTTTCAGCTCTTCTCCCCCAATAGATAAAGGGAATAGTGAAATTCTCTCTTCCTTGTCCCCTATCTTCAATTCTCAGTTCTCACTCTGCTTAC